ATTTCTATCTATCATCTTTTCTTTCGTTGCGTCATTTCATTCGTAACGTTTTCCGTATCTTTTCCATCATTGACTAATTACTTAAAATATTCAATTTAATAAAATTCTATTAAGTACATATAAAAAGCTTTCCTTTGTCACAATTTCATTTAACGCCATTTCCACATTTACTCCAATCAATTCATTAATCATTGACTAATTATATAATAAGACCACATTTTAATAAAAACACAAACTTTATATCGTTGTCACAGTTTTATTCATTAATTTTTAAACTATTTTTAAAAGTTACCTCAAGTCTTAAAAATCTTTGCAAATAAATACAAAATTTAAACCCATTAATAATATTTGCCTTTTGCATATTTTCACGTATATTTTTATATAACAAAATTAAACAGTTTGAATGTTTGCAAACATTTTATCACCTCAAGATATTGGCTTTACTTAATCTAGCAAATATATGTTTTTACTGCTATTAAAAGTAAATGCATGCAAATTTTCTCTCAGCTTTCATAAACAAGTATGAATGACTTACAAATAAATATTATTACCAAATTAGTACAAAAATCCATTAAACATTTACAATAATATTTTTGTTTTCTTTAAACATTCTTTAATTTGCAAGTATTTATTGATATTTCTACAAATATTAGTTAAATTTATTGCGTTTTCTTAAAACTAGACGTAAAATTGCAAATTTCATCATTTAAACATTGTATTTCAATTGGAATTGCACGAGAAATGAATAAATTTGTATATAAGTATACAAATGCAAATTCGATAAACCGAAAATTTGCATTCGCCATAAGAGTTTCGTCATTGAGAAACTTCGGTCTAGAAAATGGTAACAAGATTTGCGCAAGTTCTTTTCTTTTGTTGTTGTTGCCAGAACGTGTACTTATTTATTTATCTCGACGAGATTCGATTCCGTATCGGATGCGACTACTTCCTGCGTTTCATTTTGCCGAAGCAGGAACTCTTTCACTTAAACTGGAGTGAAAATGTTCTATCTTTTTTTTTTTGTAACTCACCTCAGTATTTGACCGGCCTCGCGACTCCTGTATACGTCGCACTTGTGCAGAGGTTTCGATGGATCGTTCGGGTTGAATTGACCTGCTGCTTGACACATCGATCTGTAGATTTGGAATTGGAGAATTGTGCTCACAAAGTATCTGAAAAATCAGAAGAAAAAAACATGATTTAGAGATTATTTTAACCATTTAGAAGTTGCAACTTGTAAGTTGCATTTAGTTATGTAAGAAAAATGAATCACAATTTCTTAATAAGAAAATTTTAGTAAAAAATTATGAAAAAAAATGATAAATGCAGGAACTCTTATTGTGAATTTGAATCTTATTGCTCAATAAGATAATTCTATACAATTATTATAGTATTTCTTATAGAAGATTGAAGTTTAAGTGAAGTATATTAATCTTGCTTAATTGTTGACTTTGATTTAGCTTTACTTAGAGAAGATTTGATACAAATGTGATCCAATTGGCATTGAAAATCTCTAAGTTTTACAAGAAGTTAAATATTTTGAGTCATGATTCTTGAAGGACAATAATCTTGCTTCAATTGAATTTAGGTCAATAATCCTGCTTATTTTTAGAGAAGATTTGATGAAATTATATTATTAAAATAAGGGACAGCATTCATTGTTTAATTAATTCAAGTTTTATTAATCCTGTTTAATTGTTGACTTTGATTTAGCTTTACTTAGAGAAGATTTGATAGAAATGTGTTCCAATTTGGCATTGAAAATCTCTAAGTTTTACAAGAAGTTAAATATTTTGAGTCATGATTCTTGAAGGACAATAATCTTGCTTCAATTGAATTTAGGTCAATAATCCTGCTTATTTTTAGAGAAGATTTGATGAAATTGTATTATTAAAAATAAGGGACAGCATTCATTGTCTCTTCAATGCTTCAATTAAATTTAGATTTGATACAATTGTGATGCAACTGTTGCATGAATTTAGACTTTATTCCAATAAGATGTGTTTCAATTAGAATTGAGTACTTCTCAAATGAGCTGTGATGCAAGTGTTATCTAAATGGAGGTCGTTATTTGTGGTTCTTTCTATAGAGTTGGAGGGAACTGAAGATAAGTGCAAATAAAAAATGACTTTCTCACGGACGGAAAATCGGAGCGGCCTTTCGAGGCGCGCGCGCCTGGATTTTTGCACAATGTGGTGCAGAGGTTTTTAGGTGGTGGATAAGATCGGCGCGTTTGTGTGAGAGAGAATCGGGGAAAGCGTGGTGGAGGAGGCACCATGTATAAAGCTAAGTGCAGACTAAGTGCCATCTCACATATACATAGAGTGTGGTTCTTCAGACTCCGAAGATAAGATATATGCGTGCTGCGATGAGATTTTCGGTGCGTGTCGCAATTTTAAAGAAATAAAAAAACTTTTTGGATTATCTACAGTTGTGGTTAATTGAGTTATCTTATTGTTGTTGTCTTTCTTTCTGTTTGCAGCTGATCTGTTGTTGCGTCTTAGTCTTCGCCGCAGTTGCGCTGGGCGAGAAGGCGGAAGAGAAGTCCGACAAGAAGCAGACGAAACGCGGTTTGCTCACCCTCGGTTACGGCTACGGCGGCGATTACGACAATGGGTACCATCTGGGGCAAGGCGGGTACGGCATAGAAGGCGGATACACGTTAGGACATCACGCGATTCCGTTGGGACATTCGACGGCGGTCGAGAAGATCATCACCTTGTTCAAAGGAGTGCCTTTACCGTATCCGGTCGAGAAGCATATACCGTATCCGGTGGAGAAACGCATACCTTATCCGGTGAAGGTGCCGGTACCGCAACCGTACCCAGTCGAGAAGCACATCCATGTACCTGTTAAGGTTCCCGTTAAAGTAGCAGTACCCGTACCGCAACCGTACCCCGTCGAGAAGATCGTCCACGTACCGTACAAGGTTTACGTCGAGAGGCCGTACCCTGTCAAGGTTCTGGTACCGCAACCGTATCCAGTCGAGAAGCACATCCATGTACCTGTTAAAGTACCTGTACCGCAACCGTATCCTGTGGAGAAGCAAGTACCGTACCCGGTCAAGGTACCAGTCCATATTCCTCAACCGTACCCGGTCATCAAGCACGTGCCATACCCAGTCAAGGTACCTGTAGATCGTCCGTATCCAGTCCACGTACCGCAACCGTACCCGGTGCACATCGAGAAGCAAGTGCACGTCCCCGTTCAAGTACCTGTTAGGGTACCAGTCAAGGTAGCAGTCGACAGGCCAGTACCTTACCCAGTCGAGAAACCGTACCCGGTCCCAGTTAAGGTACCTGTACCCGCACCGTACCCCGTCTACAAGGAAGTACCGTACCCGGTCGAGAAACCCGTACCGTACCCGGTGAAAATCGCCGTCGACAGGCCAGTCCCGTACCCGGTGGAGAAACACGTCCCGTACCCGGTGGCGAAGCCAGTACCGTATCCAGTCAAAGTGCCCGTCGCAGTCCCCGTTTACAGCCACGGAGGCGGTCACGGAGGAGGCTACGACTCTTATAGTCTAGGAGGCGGTGGCGGCGGATACGGAGGCGGACATTACGCCACCTACAGCCACGGTGGTGGACACTACTAACTCATCAAAAAAAAACAAAATCGAGTCGAAGAAGAAGAATAACTTAAAACAAAACACACCGTGTGTGTATCGAATACATGTACTAAACAGAATTAATTAATTTATGTTGTAATTTGTTCACAATAAAACTTTTATAAAAAGAAATAAATATATTTTTTTTATATATATATATAAAAAAAAGAAACGCAAACAATTCACTTATTTAGCAACATAAAACACCTTCCCTTACGCAATTTCCGCGCGAAGATTCGAATCTCAGAGTCCTTGGATGAGAGAAACAAACGAGCGTCGAAATGCACGTTGCAATCTCTTCGTTGAAACCTTGGTATTGTCTTTACGATCTTATTGAATTGAATTACATTTTTTTGCAAAAAAATAGAATTTACAAGAGCGTAGTTAATTGTCAATTAATTCAATTGATTACAGTAAATGGTAAATAATTCAAAGATTTACAGATATTTTTCATCCATTCATTCGTTTGTTTCATAAATCTGTAAATGAATTAGATTGTAATTAGATAAATAAATAGAAAGGTTATCGTTTTACTTAATGAAAAATATTGAAAATATCCAAATTATCTTTTTGAAAAATTTGTTAATTTTGCTTTGATTAAAGAAAATGTTCTTTATTTCTTCAGAAACTTTTGCAAATTTAAAATTAGAATTTCAAAAATTAGAATTGTGAAATCTTCTAGTTCATCAATTATTGTCAATAATGTCTTTAATTTCGTCATAAATTTCATTGAAAGGAAAACGTTTAGAATTCCTTATAATGCAAATTTTAATAAAAAAAAATACATTTTTAGATGAAAATTTAACGAATTGTAATATTTCAGCAAAATTAATTGTCTTGAATAAAAAAAAATAATTATAAAAATATACTTTTAACTAATGCAAAGATTATTACTTCTCAGTTAAAACTCCACGTATCAATCTTTTACATGAAACCTTTAAATTATCTTTAGTCTTTTATAGAATTACCTTTTTTACCTACAAATTATCTTTTTGAAAAATTTATTAATTTTTTTTCATTTCCTATACATTTCTTGCTTTGATTAAGAAAAATGTTCTTTATTTCTTCACAAACTTTTGCAAATTTAGAATTAAAATTCCAAAGATTAGAATTGTAAAATTCTTCAATTTGTAAATCTTCTAGTTCATCAATTATTATCAATGATTTCTTTAATTTCGTCATAAATTTCATTGAAAGAAAAACATCTTTCTCTTTAGAATTCCTTAAAATAATGCAAATTTTAATAAAAAAAAATACATTTTTAGATGAATCTTTAAGGAATTGTAATATTTCAGCAAAATTTATTGTCTTGAACAAAAAAAAATAATTATAAAAATATACCTTTAACTAATGCAAAGATTATTACAAAATTTTCGCTTATAAAATCTTCTCTGAGAAATAAAACTTTTCAGTTAAAACTCCACGTATCAATCTTTTACATGAAACCTTTAAATTATCTTTAGTCTCTTATAGAATTACCTTTATTACCTACAAATTATCTTTTTGAAAAATTTGTTAATTTTTTTCGTTTCCTATACATTCCTTACTTTGATTAATAAAAATGTTCTTTATTTCTTCACAAACTTTTGCAAGTTGAAAATTAGAATTTCAAAGATTAGAATTGTGAAATCTTCAATTTGTAAATCTTCTATTTCATCAATTATTTCTTTAATTTCGTCATAAATTTCATTTAAAATTCCTTAAAATAATGCAAATATTAATAAAAAAAATACATTTTTAGATGAAACTTTAAGGAATTGTAATATTTCAGCAAAATTAATTGTCTTGAACAAAAAAAAATAATTATAAAAATATACTTTTAACTAATGCAAAGATTATTACGAAATTTTCGCTTATAAATTTTTTTTCTGAGAAATAAAACTTCTTAGTTAAAACTCCACGTATCAATCTTTTACATGAAACCTTTAAATTATCTTTAGTCTCTTATAGAATTACCTTTATTACCTACAAATTATCTTTTTTAAAAATTTGTTAATTTTTCTTTAATTTCGTCATAATTTTCATTTAGAATTCCTTAAAATAATTCAAATATTAATATAATACATTTTTAGATGAAAATTTAAAGAATTGTAATATTTCAGCAAAATTAATTGTCTTAAACAAAAAAATACTTATAAAAATATACCTTTAACTAATTACGATATTATTGCGAAATTATTACGAAAGTTTCTCTTATAAAATCTTCTCTGAGAAATAAAACTTCTCAGTTAAAACTCCACTCATCAATCTTTTATATGAAATCTTTCAATTATCTTTAGTCTCTTATAGAATTACCTTTATTACCTACAAATTATCTTTTTGAAAAATTTGTTAATTTTTTTCGTTACCTATACATTCCTTGCTTTGATTTAGGAAAATGTTTTTTATTTCTTCCCAAACTTTTGCAATTATAATTTCAAAGATTAGAATTATAAAAATCTTCAATTTGTAAATATTCTAGTTCATCAATTATTTCTTTAATTTCGTCATAAATTTCATTTAAAATTCGTTAAAATAGTGCAAATATTAATAAAAATACATTTTTAGATGAATCTTTAAGGAATTGTAATATTTCAGCAAAATTAATTGTCTTAAACAAAAAAAAATATATATCAAAATATAGCTTTAACTAATGCAAAGATTATTACGAAATTTAAACCAAAAAAAATAGTTATAACAATTCATTTTCCAAAGATTATTAAGAAATTTTTGCTTATAAAATCTTTTCTAGGTAATAAAACTTCTCAGTTAAAACTCCACGTATCAATATTTTACATGAAACCTTTAAATTATCTTTAGTCTTTTATAGAATTACCATTATTTTTGCAATCAAAATTAAAATTCCGTAATTGATCGTCAATTAAAGCGTTCAATTAAAACGCATCGATCTGCGTTAACCCCGATTCTCTCCATCTATTTTTCCTCTCCATCTCTCCGCAGATTCATTCATTTGTTAATTTAAAAAATAAATAAATACACACACACAAAAAATAAATAATAATCGCATCTAACGAGCTGCGGCAATCAAAGCGTGAATCACGATTCGACTAGGTCAAATTTACGGTCGTAATTAATTCATTAGAGACGTGACCCCGCGACGATTTGCATACAGAATTTTGTTTACTTGTTGTTTTTTTTGCATTTATTTGTTTTTTTTTGTGTTCATTTGTTTGTTTATATTCACAAAAGATCGACGATCGCAACAATCCTATTATGAATGTTACGGTAACCAGGAAACGTGAACTTAGCTTAGCTTAGTTACGTAACATTTGTTTACGTTTCCATTCTAATGCGATGCGTTTCTTTATTCGCTTTTTTGTTATGTTTCATTTCGAACGCTCAAATGCCGTCGATCTAATTGGTAACAATTATGCATCTCCTCTTTTCATTCATTTATTTCGTTATTTGCATGTTTTTTTTCTCTCAATTTTCGCAATTTCTCGTTAAACGTTAATTGGATACAAAAATAGGTTGAAAATCTAATTGGCCGTTTTATAATTCCGTTCCACAGTTTTGCTTCAAGTTTACGTTTTTTTTTCTTCTATAATTTCGTTGATGGTGTTTGCTGCTGTTGTTATTATTGCTGTAATCCGCGGGAAAGTTGCAGATAATACCAGTTTTCATCATAATTTTTCCTTTACGCAACTCGTTTAGATTCAAATCAATGTTGATTTCACGTTTTTAATATTTTTTTTTGTAATTATTGGAAATTTTCAATTTCATCATTGATGATTGAATAGATTTTAAAATTGTTTAAAGTTTATTCTGAAATATTTATGTATGTTTTTTTTATCTTCATAATGGAATATATGTATATTGAAATGATATAAATTCTAATCAAACTGGTTTAAAGTCGTTTTGCATTTGGAATTCACAGAGTGAAATAAGTTATAAAATCGGGACAAGCATTTACATAACAATTAAATGAAAGTTTCGTTAGTTGTAAGTGCACTTAAAAGTGACAGATATGTGTGTCACAATAGGGGAAAAAATACGATCGATTTTACTATTAACAATTCAGTTTGAAAACAAGTCTTTTGGTTATTGAAAAATTATCTTGAATTGAGTAGAAAATTATCTAAAACTGAACGATGAAACAATTTTGTTATCAAAACAAGGTAAAAATCTTCTTGAGAACTGAAAATTATATATTTTTAATAAAAAAAAACGTATAAATCTTCTTGATTTAGGAATGAAAACAAATTGTCATGAAGTTATCAAAATTGATATAATTTTTCTTAATTCAATCATTGGAAAATTAAAAATTTTCAAACTAAAAATATTCATATTTAGTGGAAATAAAGTTATGTAAATTTCTCAAATTAATCATTTAAAAACTGAAAAATTTCATATTTTAATTAAATTATGAACTCATCAAAACTGATACAAAACTTCTTGATTGACTTATATAAACAAAAACTGAAGAATTTAAGTAAATCTTCTTAATTTGAAAATAAAAATAGAAATGTAATCTACTTAATTCAATCATTGTAAAACTGAAAATTTTCAAACCAAAAGTATTCATATTCAATAGACATAAAGTTATGAAAATTTCTCAAATTAATCATTTGAAAACTGAAAATTTTTATATTTTAATTAACTCATGAACTCATCAAAACTGATACAAAACTTCTTGATTAACTCATATAAACAAAAACTGAAGAATTTAAGTAAATCTTCTTGATTTGAAAATAAAAATAGAAATGTAATCTGCTTAATTTAATCATTGAAAAACTGAAAATTTTCAAACTAAAAATATTCATTTTTAGTGGACATAAAGTTATGAAAATGTTCTCAAATTAATCATTTGAAAACTGAAAATTTTCATATTTTAATTAACATGAACTTATGTTAAAACAATACAAAATGAACTGATATAAAACTTCTTGATTAAACTGAAGAATTTATGTAAATCAGAGGACATAAAGTATTGAAAATGTTCTCAAATTAATCATTTAAAAACTGAAAATTTTCAAATAAAACTATTC